CGCTGATCGTGCAGGAAACTACTGCCCAAGAGGGGTTGTTTGAAAAACTCCGTAAGATTTTCCAATGGGATGCCACACCACGGATGGCAAAACTGGCGTTGACCGCACAGTTCGCGGCGCTCCTGGCGCTGGCGGTCATGATTGGGTCACCAGACAGCACAGATACAGACGAGTTAGGTGGCAACCAATATCAAACAGTTAGCGGTGCTGCCATGGCTGCAGATCTGCTGGTCGGATTTGCGCCGGGCACGTCAGAGGCTCAGATGCGTGAACTGTTAATGGATATGGACGCGCAAATTACCGCCGGCCCAAACAGTATTGGTATCTATTCGATCAGTCTGCCAGCCGGCGCAGATGTCGCTCAGATACAGACAGAGCTCGGGCAGAATTCGGCAATCATCTACGTTCAACCTGCGGCAGCACCATGACATTCACAAGCGTGCGGCAAACGCTTCTGTTAACTGCACTTTTTGGTTTTTTAAGTGCCGGTTTCAGCGTTCCGACCCTGGCTGCAAACGCCCCGAATGACCCTCACTACAATGCCCAGGGTTCCTGGGGACAGGCCTATGCTGACCAGTGGGCACTGCAGCAACAGCGGGTGTACGCAGATATTGCACCTGCTCCTGCTGAGCAACGCGTTGTTGTTGCCGTTATTGATACAGGTTTGGACTACACCCATGAAGACCTGGCCGCCAACAAGCTGTGGCGTAACCCGGCCGAGACTAAAAATGGCAGGGACGACGATGGCAACGGCTATGTGGATGACCTCATCGGCTGGAACTATGTGGACAATAACAACAACCCCTGGGATCTCAGCGGCCACGGCACCCACATTGCGGGCCTGATTGCGGCCTGCACAAACAACGGTGTAGGTATTGCCGGTATCAACCCAGGCGCCCAGATCATGCCGTTGAAGGTGGCAAATTTTACCGGCCAGGCCAGAAGTTCAAGCGTTGCTGCAGCCATACGATACGCGGTTGAACACGGCGCACGTATTATTAATCTGAGCCTTGCCGGAGATACGATCACAGACCTTGAGATTCAAGCAGCAGAGTTTGCCCTTGAGCGAGGCGTTCTGATCATTGTTGCTGCCGGGAACCGGGGCATTGCAGCGGATCAATTTGGCTATGCTGCCTTACCTGGCGTGCTTGCCGTAGGGGCCAGCGACAACAATGGGCAGCGTGCGGGTTTTTCGAATTTCGGCGCACAATTGTCTTTGCTTGCACCGGGTGTCGAAATACTTTCACTACGCGCAAAAAATACTGATTTTATTGCCCTTTCCCAGCCGCTGGATTACGCATCGCAAGATGCTGTTGTGGGCGAAGAAGGGCAGTATTACCGAGCATCAGGCACGTCATTTTCTGCAGGTTTCGCCACGGGTATAGCCTCTGCGATTCTCGCTCGCCAACCTCAATTAAGCGGCGCGGAACTGCGCCAGATACTGATTCAGTCCGCCGCAGACATCGCACCACCCGGAGTAGATCAACTGTCCGGGTACGGGGGGTTGGACTATATTGCGGCGCTGAATGCCCGGCCCGGGCAGTTTGTGCAGGCCCGTTTGGACGGTGCCAGCTTGTCACTCATCGATACCCGTCTGTGGGTAAACCTGCTTGGTAAAGCGCAAGCTGATCAGTTCATCAGCGCAACCCTGCAGTTTCGGCCAACAGCGGGCTCCATCCCCGTTGCTGAAGAGACAAACAAGAAGAAGAAAAAGAAGAAGCGCGACAAGGTCGTCGTCGACCCTTACCAGTGGCAGACGTTAGCGAGCTTCGACAAAGCCATCAACGGCGAACTCGGCCAGTTCGAAATCAACACATTAACTCAGCAGGCTAACGGGTCTACCCAATGGGACCTAAAGTTAGTAGTTGTTGCAGCTGACGGCGCACAGCGCGAGGCGTCCATGAGTTTGCACCTGCCCGTACCTGAAGCCGACTTTGCGGAGGTGCCCAGTGAACCCTAAACAAGCGCTTCTTGGGCTGCTGTGTTGTGGTTTGAACCTACCACTTGCCGCGGAAGATTTTGCCCAAGCGTGGCGTGATCCCGCCGCCCTGATACTGCCTGCCCCGGCGCGCAGTCTGGTGCTGGCATCACACATTGACGCGGCGCAGTGGCTGACACAGAACCCACTCAACCATGCCCGTCTATTGCCACAGGGGCGCGCAACTCTGGTGCAGTTCAATATGGCGCAAGAGCAATGGCAGCAAGAACAGAACGCGCTTTGCGGGCAACCCGGCATATCCGAATGTAATCCGGATGCCTGTCAGAGCATTCAATTGAAAGGCCATGTCGGCAACGTTTCAAATGCGCAACGCCTCCAGGCCAGAATTGTGGCCAACCCACCCTCACTGGATAGCATCGCCGAAGATGACAGCAGCGAAAGCACCTGCTCAATTGCCGCCGCCTTGCCGGAGTTCGATACACCAACAGATGGCACCGGCATCAACTTAAGCCTGGATCTGCAAGGGCTCGGCCAGAACAATCAGAATGGCAGCAGACCTGACCCTATTGACCCCTACGCACCCAACGCGCAGAGCCCGCTGTCAGCCGTCGATTTTGCAATAAAGCTGTTACCGGGTTTCAATGGACAGGCGTTGCTGGAAACTACAAATACGCCCGCAGACACAACAGGTTACTCCGTGCTTGTTGGCGATGGCTGCAATAGCGTCCAAGTGCCTCTATCCAGCATGGCACCACCTTCGGTACCTAATCTGGTTGTAGCGGTTGTCACCGGCGATGTTGCCAGCGTCGCTGCTCGACACCAGATGCTCGCCCTGAGTCAGACAACCCTGGCAAGTACAGGTGATGTGTTGACGGTGTTCTTAAACCCGCTGCCGCAACGTTCAGTTGCACAGCTGCTCACCCTGCTTGCGCAAGACAATGATATTGTCAGTGCGCAGCGAGAATTGATCTATCTCACAGCAGCCAGTGAAGTGGCCTATTCAGATCCCTGGGCAGGACTGACCTACGGTCCCGCCCACACCGGAGCGCTGGCGCTGCATAGCGAAACAACCGGTGCAGGAGAAACCATTGCAGTCATCGATACCGGCATGGCGGTGGACCACCCTGACCTCGCCGGTCGCGTGGAAACCCAGGATCTGACCGGCAAAGGCTGGAGTGCGGACGCACACGGTACTGCAGTTGGCAGCATTATTGCCGCAGCAGCGGATAATGCTCTGGGCAGCTTTGGAGTCGCTCCAGCCGCAAACATCCTCGCATTGAAAGCCTGCCAGCCAGAGACTGCAAACGGGTTACGCGCACGGTGCTGGACCAGTACGCTGGTCAAAGCCCTGGATGCCGCGATGCAGAAGGACGCCAAAATCATCAACATGAGCTTAGCCGGGCCACCAGATGAGCTGCTAGCCAGATATGTTGCATTGGCCGTGGATCAGTCACGACTGATTATTGCCGGTGCGGGCAACGGTGGCGCGCTGGCTAAACCCGCGTTCCCAGCAGCTTTGCCGGGTGTACTCGCGGTAACCGCAGTCAACAGCCGCAACCAACTGTATGACCAGGCGAACCAGGGAGAGTACATTGATGTGGCCGCGCCCGGCGTCGACATAGTGACTTTGGCAGCAGACGGCAGCTTCCCTATCAGTTCCGGCACGTCCTGGGCCGCAGCACATGTCAGTGGCGTCGCTGCTTTACTGCACCCTTTGATGCCATTGTCATCGCCGGCTGAAATTGCCTTTCTATTACGTGGACACAGCACAGATCTGGGCGCTACCGGCAAAGACACTTCCTTTGGCCACGGCCTAATCGACGTCTGCGCTGCCGCCGCTGCGGCCACAGCAAACGCCTTCACGTGTCTGACAGAAGAGGTATCGCGCAATGGCTTCTAAAGTTGGGCTGGCCACTCTGGCCACAGCCGCGCTCACAGGATGGCTGTGTACCCCGTCGCTGGCGGCGGAGCCGTTTGTTGCACCCAGTTTCACACCCAGCGACAAAGGTGACTTCCAGTACTCTGAACCTACACCATATCCGCAGGTCACCCTGGATCTTGCCCCCATTGAAGCGCAGGTTGCGACAGCAGCCACCACCCGATGCGGAACACCTCTGGCCGCATCACCATTAGATCTTGGCGATGCTCAGGGATTCATGAGCAAGACCATGGGGAAAGCCGCCAACGCCGCAATTGGCAAACTGGTTGGTGGTCTTTTAGGTAGCAGCGGTGGCAGCTCAAAAAAACCAAAGCTGGCAAAAGACCCGATCAAAAAGAAGTTCAAGAACAAGATTAAGCACCCGAGCGGAGATGCTCGCCTGCAGATTGGTGGTCAAAACTACAGCAATGGTCTGTTGATCAGCGCGCGAGTCGACAAAGCAGCAGGCAAGGGAACATTCCACACCATGTTTCTGGAGCAACCTGACTGCAGCCGCATATGGCCGGAACAATATCAACAGTACGGGTTATGGGGAAGCTGGAGTCTGTCCGTCAGTGTCACCAAAACCACCAGTTCTTATCGTAACGGCGACCTGGTTGATCAATCTGTCAGCCAGTCGGGTTGGTCCAAATCCGGCACGTTTGACGTGTCGCGTGGCTTCTCATTGTGGGACCAACTTCCCGGCGAGCCTATGCAACTGGTCCTGGATGCCGACAAAGCTTATCTGTCGCAGCTGCGGCGTGAAATCGATCAGCCTGCCTGGCAGCAGATGGGATTCGCCAAACCCACAGAAGGCATTCGCACGGCGGGTGCAGTATTTCGTGTGGACCCCAGCGAGATACAACCCGACACGCTGGCGGTGATTCATATTACCCATGTGGAAAAGGGTCGATACCGAACCGTTGGCTTCCCGTTACACATGACTCCCGCAGCAGACGGTCGGCTGAGCTTTGTGATGCACCCGGAATTCGCTACCCCTTAATCTGAATCCGTGTTTTTGCCCGCCAGGGTGTGTAGAAAAATACTTAAACTTTTTTTGAACCCCATCTGCTGACCCCGTTACTTACTTAGTAAGGCAGCCACAAAGCGCCTAACTAAACCACTAAAGTATCGGAGATTGACATGAAAAAAGTATTTACCCCCACCCTGATCCTCGCTGGCATTCTTGCTACTGGCACTGTTGCCGCCGACACCCCATACGCTTATTGGGATGCGTCTCGCACAACAGAAGTTGCCGTTGCAGATTCATTTAACCCAACGAGCACAACCAGCCACAGCGAAGACAACGATGTTGCCGTTGACGTGCGCCGCTCAGTGCAGGAAGACAACGATATTGATCTGCGTTTCTCCAACACGGAAGACAATGATTACACCAGCAGCTACTCAAACAGCGAGGACAATGACTACGCTCACAGTGAAGACAACGATGTCACAACTTCTATCTCAGAAGATAACGACATCACGAAGTCTTGGCAGGAAAGCACTGACATCGACTTCCAGATAGCGACACCAACAATGACCTCACACAAGTACCAGGCACAAGATGCCGGCCATCAAGCCGACCAATCTGTTCTGGGTGCTGCACGCGGTCACACGGTTGGCGTAACAGGCGGACCTACTGTTGTCAGCGCGGGCAACGACGAACAGGTTTTTTACGGCCCTGCGATGGTGAACAACAACACCAACCAACTGCCGCAGAACAACCTGTTTGTACAGGGCAGCAACGGCGCACCCATCAGCCAGTCCAACACCTTTGCTGGACGGGACATGGGACCTAAAGGTGTCTTTGCACCAGTTGGTAACACCTCAGCCACAGTGTTTGGCGACACCATGCAGAGCTCCGGTGCACAACTGGGTCAGTCTGGCGATTCAAGCAACTCAATTGCTGATCAGATGAACTCAGCCATCGGCAAGTAATCTTGAAAAATGACTGCAGCAAATCAAACCAGAGGGGCCCACGCCCTCTGGTTTTTTTCACACAAAAACTAAAGCTCGACAGCAAAAGGACCGGACCATGCGTACCTTTATCTTAATCATCAGCATCCTCGCTGCCCTTTGGCTGACAACTGCAAGTCAGACGGCATACGCCAAGCAGGCCCAGGCGGCACCGAGTCCAGAACAGCAGCTGCTACAACGTATTTACCAACTGCGTATGCGGCTCGATCAGGAGCGCATGCAGGCGGAAAACGAAGCCCGCAACAACGTGCGTCTGGTCAGCAGCAACAACGGTAATCGCAGCATAGATGCGCCAACGGTTTCAGGTTTACGCCAGCAAACCAGCGCTCAACTGGCACGCTTTGAGAGTCAGTTTCAGTGCCTGGACGTTGAAGTCGAAGCCAACAGCGGCAACACCGTTGTAATCTGCGGCGATAACAGCGGCGACATCACTGGCAGCAACGTATCAGCAGAACGTGACATCGTCACCGTGCAGGGAGGACAGCGATGAAACCCTTACAAATGCTCCTCTTAACTGGATTGGTTGTCTGCACAACTGCAGGGCAGGCAAATCCGCTGTTACATTCTCAAGGGTTGCCTGGCTTCATTGTGCTGGCGGAGCAGCGCTACGATCCAGCAGTTCAACGGTTTATGGCAGAGCAATCATTACGCGCTTTGCCGCTGAAGAATGGTCAACTGTTTTATGTGTATCCCATCAATACCTCAAATGCCTACATTGAGCAGATGCAGATTCGTTACCTAGAAGTGCTGCTGGAAAAAAAAGCCGCTGAAAATGAACCTGAAGGCGAGTCGCCGTGACCTATACGTAAGCCAACTTATTTAACAGGAAGTGCGACATGACACGTTCTACCAAACTCACCACCTTCGCCATCATCGGTCTACTGCTTCTTTTGATTACGGGCATCGCGGATGCAAAAACCAGCAAGACCAAACCCATGGCAGCAGAAGATCTGGAACAGGCATTGGACAATATGACCTGCCCCAGCCTTAAACCTCGAGTCGCAATCTACAGCTTTTTTTCCACCGGCAAACTGGCATCTTTTGAAGGCTACAACATTGGCGATGGTCTAGCGGCCCAGCTTGCTACTGAGCTGACTCGAACAAACTGCTTTATCGTGCTGGATCGCACCGGTTTATCAAATTTGCTGCGTGAACAGGAGCTAGGCCTGGCGGGGGTAGTAAACAGAGAGACCGCACCCGCCGCCGGTCGACTGGTCGGCGCAGAAGTCATCATCAAAGGGACCATCACGGAATTTGACCCGAACAAAAAAGGTGGGGGCATTACCTTGGGCATGGCGTTACCCAATACACCTTTAGGCCTGCGCCTCGGGCGCAATGGCAGTAAGGCCCACGTTGGGCTTGATGTCAGCATCATCGACGCCACCAACGGACAAACCCGCTTTTCACATCGAGTGATAGCAGATTCTAAAACCGGCGGATGGACCTTGGGGCTCGATTACAAACGGGCCAGTCTCGGCGGGGACACGTTTGCCAAATCACCCCTGGGCGTCGCATCACGTAATGCACTGGGCCAAGCCGTGCTGAAGATCGCCAACGATCTGAATCAATCGGTGGAGCGGCGCTTTCAGATAGCCAGCACAGACGCTGACGAAGTTTATTTAAATGCAGACCGAGCCTCCGGCATTCGCGAGGGTGACCTGATGCGTGTTTCGACCGTCGTACGCAAACTTGTTGATCCAGCCACCGGGTTATTGCTGGACACCATTGAGCGGGAAGTGGGACAGATCAAGGTTGTCGAAGTTACCGAGCGCTACGCCCGAGCCGAACTTGTGGATGGGGCAAAAATTCGTCGCGGCGACTTTGTGCACCTCTAACACGCTGGCACCAATGACGGTGCCTTTGCAGCCTTCGATCTCGGATATCCCTTAGTTTCCACCAGCAGGGGCCGTGTTATTTATACACCTGACATATCGGAGAACAACATGAGTAAATACAGTGCCGCTAAAGACGCGATCAACAGCGTCGTAGAAAATGGCAAAGAGCTAGGACTGGATCGCAAGGAGATGCTTAGCGCACTGATCATTTCAGCGATAGAAGATTTTCAGAACCACCTTGGCAAAGATGAAACCCGTGTCCTGCTCACATATGAACTGGACAACCTGGGTGGTAAACTGGACATGGTTAACCTGCGCATCAGATAAGGTACCTCAAATGAAGACCCAATTGACCTTGCTGTGTGTCGGGCTGCTGGCAGCCGCAGGTACAAGCTACGCCGACAGTGATGAAGAGACTGCTTCCCGGGGCGAACACATATTCGCCAAACATTGCTCCAGCTGTCATGGAGACAGTGGAGATGGTGTTGAGCCCTGGTACCCATCGCTGCAGCGCCTGGCAGGTATGCGCACGGCTGCCGACATGGTGGAGACTGTTTTAACCGGCCGCTTCAAGCGTGGCGGCGAGCTCAACGGACACACTATTCCCATCATGCCTGCATGGGGACAACTGTCCGATGACGATGTGGCAGCAACCGTAAACTACATTCAGCGAAACTGGGGCGAAGGTCAGAACATCACAGCTGAAGATGTCGCGAAGACGCGCACTCAGCTGTGGGAGTTGGATTGAATTTAGTCTCCAGCGATATCTTTTCCCTGGAATCAAGCAGCCTTTGCCGGGCTGCTTGACCAGGTTCCTGCTTAAGGTTGCTCGAAGTCCTCTGACGTAGGTGACAGTTCGCCAAATTCACCACCGGTGGGCAATGCCAGTTTGAAATCCCGGTGACAGCCTTCACAGATATCAACAATCTGACCACCCACCATGGCAATGGTATCCACATCCCTGACCTTTACCGCGGCAACCGCCAATTCGCCAACATCACGCAGGGCACCCGCCCAGTTCTGCCACTGATCGCTTGCCACCCACTGATCATCCAGTGGACCAGTCCCGGGCACCGCAAGCAACGTACCACTTAGCTCCAGCTGCACAGCTCTACGCTCCAGTTCCCGCCAATCCGCATCCGTTTGCGGATTATGCCAGGCCGCCACCCAGAGAGGATCTGCAGCCTGATTCACCATGGCCACCATTACCGTGTTGAGACTGACCGGTAATCGCTTCACAGCCTGGACGGGCTCTGCTGTCATCTCTTCAGCGGCTGGCGTTAGCGGCGCATCGGCTGCCTGTTTCGGCGCTTCTGAGCAACCACCCAGTACTATTAACAAGCCGGCAAAAACCCCAGCCAGTCTTTGTCTGTCCAAACAAACCCAATCATTAGAAATAATCTTGTTCATAAACCCCCTGTCGTCCCCATTTATTAATCAGCCTTTGAGATCGGCGCAGTCAAAACATAGTCCTGCTGCCGGGAGCGCCTGCAGCCGTGCCGCACTGATGTCTCCACCACACCCGGTACAGACACCGTAGGTGCCTTCCTCAAGGCGAGCTAATGCCTGCATCGTTTCTTTCTCTTTGCCGGTCAGTTCATGCTCCAGAGCCAACATGGTTTCACTGTTTTCAAGTTCAACAGCCTGTTCTGCAAAATCCTGTGGCAGCGGTTCCTCACGATGGTGAACGTGTCTGGCCAGCTTATCGCGTCGCTCGTGAATACTCGCAAGCATCTCTTCAAGAACAGCCTTTGCAGCAGCTTTATTCATCTGTTAGTCCGGTGGATATAAGTCTCTTCGAGGATAGAAAGCCGACCTCGGGCTCTCTATCCGTGATTGTTGCAGTCTGATACGCATATCTACGTACTGGAATATTTACACCTCGTGCCCATTAAACCGGAACCGATAAACGACAAGGAGTAGACCGTGAACCTCATAGACAAACCCAGCAGCGTATTCGACGAATTCTATCGTCCCTTTGGCAGTCTGTTCGGCGCTGGACTGCCCAATAGAATGATCAGCGAAAACGACCTGTGGATGCCAGCCGTCGATATAAAACGTGAGGAAAATGCCTACGTGATCGAAATGGAAGCCCCGGGGTTTAAGCCAGAAGATATCGATGTAGAAGCGCACGAAAACGTGCTCACCATCCAGGGTTCGCGCAGCACGCAATCTGAAAAGAAAGAAGAAGACTACATTCGTCGCGAACGACGCACAGGACAATTCTTACGACGATTCAATCTACCAAGTGGCTGTATCACCGACGATATTGAAGCACAGGTGAAAGACGGAGTGTTGCATGTACGTATTCCGGACAAGCAAACGAGTGAACCTAAGAAAATTACTATCAGCTAGTCGCAAGGGAGAACAACGTGTCCAACCCCACAACCCAGCAGCACAGTGAATCTACCCGCGCCTGGCAATGGCTGATGAATGGTTGGCATGCGCTACGTGACAAAGCCGTCAGTGCATTGACCTACTTTTCTCCCGCCAATGAAGCAGACAATACAACCAGCCAACGCTGGGGAGTGCTCGCCACCGATGTCAGCGAGGATAAAAACTCGGTTTCTGTTGAGCTTGAACTGCCGGGGATGAAGAAAGCAGATCTCACTGTTGAGGTGCATGAGCATTCATTGGTAATCAGTGGAGAGAAACACTCCAGCACGACACGCAACGAAGGATCTCTTGTGGTTACGGAAAGGGCTTTTGGTAAATTTCAGCGGATTATCCCGCTGCCCTGTAACGTAACCCGTGCAGGCACAAAAGCTGAGTATAAAAAAGGTGTGTTGAGCGTCACTATGCCAAAAGACCGCTCTCGCCGGCCGCTGAGCATCGAAGTCCGCGGCGGGTAAAACATCCGCATGCCGGAGGCTTTCAGCAAACGGCTACCGGGTCTGACTCAGCCTTCGGTGATGTACTCAAACAGGCTGGCAAACTTGCCTTGTTTCAAGGCAAACATAGGGTCGACGTGGCTGGCATATTCTGCTTCCACGTCGCGCCAGTCTTCCGCAGACAAAAGCCGTTCAGCCAGGGGAAACAAGTGTGTGTTCTCATTGCGCATATGTACGCGCTGTAAATCAATATAGTGCTCAAAGTGCTCGAGGACCTTATCAATGGGCACAACAGAATCGTTAAGAATTTGATTTACATCCTGATCCAGGCGTAGCGTCGCGCTGATTATTTCAGCATGCTGGGCGAGGTTTGTATGGACCAACTCACGTTCTGCAGGAGTTAAACCTTTGTCTAACACACGATCAAACAACTGATCCTCCAATGGATGGTGCACCGTATCCGGATACTCCTGCAGATAGCTCAGCATATCGCTGACCAAAGTCCAGTCGATGTCGTCGTCGGGGAATTGCTTGAACATTTTTTCCAGAGAGTTCATGACCGTCGCAATATGAAAATGATCGTTGTTGAGCCGATCCATCAATTGCACTTGAACGTTATCTTTTGAAGCCACTGCAACCACCAAATTTAATGCTGTTTAGCCATCTAAAAATCGTATGAGCGGGGCCCGATCTACCAATGGCTTTGGCCAGACGTACTCGACACCCATGCGGGTAGCGAGGGTTACAGCTGGCAGAGAAACCCGGCTCATCAACAGTGCAAAAGGCACTTCCATACCACGCCTTCGTAATTCCTGAAAAAGATCCAGACCGTTGCCGTCTGGTAACTGCGCTTCACAGATAACGCTGCGTGCGCTCATCTGAGTATCCAGCATGCGCAGAAATGCCGCGCAGGTTGAAAACCCCAGCGCCGGATAGCCCTGCGAACTGCAGAGATACTGCAGGCTGTCACGCACCGCAGGATCACCATCGACAACACAAACCATCTGGTCTGACGGACGGCTATTCAGGGAAATATTCATTGCGGCAGACTAACCTTCAGCGCCATCTAGCCAATGCGGGAATGTACCTAGGTTTATGCAGATGGTGTCTGGCTCATGACTTTTGGCTCATGACTTGGCGCATATAAGCAATGCCAGGTGCCATCGCCCAACACCAGGCCAGCTCGGTCACTTCATCAGCTTCACGATCAAACTCGCGTAGCGTTGTCAGCAGAGCCTGCATCCAGACATCAAGAAGTTCTGAGGCGACTTTCAACTGCCGGTGACGTTCGGCCAGGCGTTGCAGGTCTGGGGTGAGCGCACCAACGGCGTAATAAGTGACCAGATGCAGAACCGACTTTTTCAACATGAGCTGTTGCTGCTGCAGATCAGTGTCAGCAAACATTTCCGCAACCTCGGGGGTAGCCAGGAAGTGTTCATAAAATCGCGCAAAAAAGGCATCCGCGTTTTTATTCATGCCAATGCCATGACCAAACACCCGCGCGTAACTGTTTTCAAAATGTGGATTGGGTAGCGTCATGGGTGCCTCCGTAGCCATTCAGTTCACTCTACAAAGGTAATCACCGCCTATACGGGATATCCCTGATCAACCACTTTATATATACGCATAGGCCAACTCTGCCTGCCTGCCTATGCTGGCCACCTCAGCGCAGCGCGTGGCGCGTTTCGCCTGGTGCGTGTAACGTATGTCACGCGAATTTAAGAAGAAGATCGCGCTAAAAAATCATTAGGGAGACTAAACCATGCCGTATAAAAAAGTACTTGTTGCCGTGGATCTTACTGAAGAGGCTGAGGAAGTCCTGACCGCTGCGAAAAATGCCGCCAGTGACAACAACGCAACACTATCAGCCTGCAGCATCATCCGGCCGCTGGCCCGCACCTACGGCGGCCTGGATATGGCCAATGTTGTGTCCGGCATGCCGTTTGAAGAAGAAATGCGCACGCAAGCAAACGGCAAGCTGATCAAACTCGGTGAGGAGTTTGGCATCAAATCCAGTGACGCCTATGTTCGCATGGGCTCCCCTGCCGCAGAAATTCGCGCGCTGGCGGAAGAACTTGAAGCGGATTTGATCGTCATCGGCACACATGGACGTCAAGGCCTGGGTCTACTGCTTGGTTCAACAGCCAACGCAGTGCTCCATGGCGTTGGCTGCGATGTGCTGGTGGTGAAAATTCACCCTGAAGAGGCTTAAGGCCCATATTGTTTGTTTGAAGGTGCACCTCCGACCTGGCGGGTTCGGGTTCTACGGATATACCGACCCCCAGCGGGCACCTAAACTTTCCCTCAACTCCTCGTCAACAAGGATGCACACGTGACGGTCGAAGAACCCACCTACGACTTAGGTGTCGTACGCTATTTTGCTATTGCCACCATAGTCTGGGGCATTGTCGGCATGGGGGTAGGATTATTATTAGCTGGTCAACTCGCCTGGCCAGCACTCAATTTTGATATTGCCTACCTCAGCTATGGTCGCCTGCGGCCACTCCATACTAACGCGGTGATATTTGCGTTTGGCGGCAGCGCGCTGATGGCCAGCGCGTTTTACGTCGTACAACGCACCTGCTATACCCCACTGCTGTCACGCGGCCTGGCATGGTTTGTGTTCTGGGGATGGCAACTCGTTATATTGAGCGCCGCCATCACGCTACCGCTGGGCATTACAACCAGTAAAGAATACGCAGAGCTGGAATGGCCAATCGATATCCTCATCACCCTGGTGTGGGTTGCGTTTGCCATCTCATTCTTCGGCACCATCGCGAAAAGAAAGGTTGAGCACATCTACGTGGCCAACTGGTTCTTCGGCGCGTTGATTATCGGTGTTGCCATTCTGCATATTTTCAATTCTCTGGCCATACCCGTGAGCATGACCAAGAGCTACTCGATCTACTCGGGTTCTGTCGACGCCATGGTGCAATGGTGGTACGGACACAATGCAGTGGGCTTTTTCCTGACCGCTGGCTTTCTCGGCATCATGTACTACTTTGTGCCGAAACAGGCAGGTCGACCGGTTTATTCGTATCGTCTATCTATCGTGCATTTCTGGGCGCTCATCGCCATTTATGTCTGGGCTGGCCCTCACCATCTACACTACACCTCTCTACCTGACTGGGCACAGAGCCTGGGCATGGCCATGTCTTTAGTACTGCTGGCTCCTTCATGGGGTGGCATGATCAATGGCATCATGACGCTGTCTGGCGCATGGGACAAACTGCGCACTGATCCGATCATCAAATTCCTGATCGTCTCCATATCGTTTTACGGTATGTCCACCTTCGAAGGCCCGATGATGTCGATTAAGACCATCAATGCCTTATCGCACAACACCGACTGGACCATTGGCCATGTGCACTCTGGTGCGCTGGGCTGGGTTGCCATGGTCAGCATGGGTGCAATGTATCACCTGATCCCGATTCTGTTTGGCCGCAAAGCAGGGGAAATGTACAGCATCAAACTGATCAACTTACATTTCTGGCTGGCGACTTTAGGCACCGTTATATATATCGCTTCCATGTGGGTTAACGGCCTCTTGCAGGGCCTGATGTGGCGAGCCACCAGTATCGACGGCACCTTGACCTACAGTTTCGCCGAAGCAGTAGAGGCGAGCTACCCCGGCTACTACGCACGCTTCGTCGGCGGCGCCATCTTCTTCATCGGTATGTGTGTTATGGCCTTCAACGTCTATATGACCACGCAAGGCAAAACCCGGGATGAGACTGAGTCTCCGGCCACACCCATGTTAGAGCCAGCAACAGCAGGAGGCGCGTGACATGAAACATGAAAAGATTGAAACCCGCGTTGGCCTGTTGATTGGTTTAACTCTATTTGCTGTCAGCGTTGGTGGCATGATCGAGATCTTTCCTCTGGTGTTCGACGGCAGCACCAAACCGACAGATACCGTTAAGCCTTACAGCGCACTGACATTGGAAGGCCGCGACATATATATCCGCGAAGGTTGTGTCGGCTGCCATACGCAAATGGTCAGAACCCTGCGTTCGGAAACCCAGCGTTACGGGCACTACTCAGTTGCTGGCGAAGACGTTTACGAGCGCCCGTTCCTGTGGGGCTCTAAACGCACAGGTCCTGATCTGGCCCGAGTTGGCGGACGTTACAGTGATGACTGGCACGCAGCACACCTGGCGGACCCGCGCAGTGTTGTTCGGGTATCCAACATGCCGGGCTACCCCTGGTTGTTTACCAACACGCTCAGTGGCGAGGACACGGCGGCTAAGATGCGGGCACTCAAAGCGCTGGGTACACCATATACCGACGCGGAAATTGACGGCGCACAGGCGGCAGTTGCCGGACGCACGGAAGCCCAGGCCCTCATCGCTTATCTACAGACTTTAGGTGTGGATATGCGTAACTACCAAGCGCCCGCAAGCACATCAGGAGAATAAGATTGTGAATATGCAAATTGTTGCCCTGATTTTTATGGTTGCCAGTTTCTCGCTGCTGTTCTTCTGGGTCTACAAACCCAGTAACCGCAGCCGTTTCGAATCCCAAGGTCGAAGTATTATGGACGATGACAGTCCCAGTCCGAAAAAATCAGAAGGAGGTCAATCATGAGTACAGGTTGGCATTGGTTTGTTGTTCTGGGTACGTTGTTGAGCCTGGCGTTTATGGGTTGGTTACTATTTGCCAATCGCCATAAATCCAACCAGGGCACCACCGGTCACAACTGGGATGGCATTGAAGAATTAGACAACCCACTTCCCATGTGGTGGGTTGGGATGTTTGTAGTTTCTATCATCTTTATGCTTCTTTACGTTGCTTACTACGGCGGCCTGGGCAACTGGGATGGTGGCGGCAACTGGACCTCTCAAGGCCAGCATGATGCTGAAGTTGCCCAACATGAAGCACGTTTTGCGCCACTTTACGCAGAGCTTGGCGGTATGAGCGAAACAGAGCTGCAGAGCGACCGACGTGCAATGCAGGTCGGCAGGCGCCTGTACCTCAACAACTGCTCCACCTGTCACGGCGTTAACGCCAATGGTGTTTTTGGCTTCCCTAACCTTACGGACGAAGAATGGCAGTGGGGTGGAGACTACCAGTCCATCAAAACCACGCTGATTGGCGGACGTGTTGCAGCCATGCCACCCTGGGGGCCGGCACTGGGTGAAGACGGTGTGGTTAACATGACCAACTACGTTCTGATGTTGTCTGGACAGGACCACGATGCCGAGAAAGCCGCAGCCGCTAAGCCACAATACGACATGTTGTGTGTCGCCTGTCATGGCACAGAAGGCAAAGGCAATACGCTGTTTGGTTCTCCAGATCTGACCAATGATATCTGGTTGTACGGCGGCAGCGCTGATCAGATCAACTTCACGCTGACGCATGGACGGCAAGGCAATATGCCCGCTCAGTCCGACGTCCTCAGCGAAGATAAAATCCATATCTTAGCGGCGTACATCAGGAGCCTTTCTCAGTGAACAGCGCCGGGCCAGAAGTACCTGAAGAAGTTGTAAAGCTGGAGGGTTTTGGCCCCCAAGATCTCTACAAACGGCGGGAAAAGATTTTTACCCGCTACGTTGGTGGCTTGTATCAGAAATTACGCTTCTACTCTGGCTGGCCCCTG